ACAGGCTTGAGACGCTGCGCACAGCTGATCGACAGCTGGGACACAAACCACCAAATAGGCCTACAAAAACATAATTCAGATCCAGTCGTCATGACTCCACTCCGGAGGGATTCATTTCTTACAGTTTCTCATCAAGGGGGGGTCTCCTGTCCCCGGTACAAACACGCCTGAGGAGGTTAGCCTATGTGTATTTTTTTTGTCATTAATCTTTTCCGGACCACTTATTTATTTATTTAGGTGACGATCCGAGCTCCATGCTGCTACTCTGTTTCAAACTGCATCCACCAAACAATATGATTTATCTCGACCTCGCCAAAATAACCAAAATCTGACAAGGTGTGAGATGTCTTTTTTAGCTGTTCTGTCGTCATTTCCTGCGATCTTCTTCATAAAGTCAGTCAGAATGAATGAATGAATGGGCGTTTCTTTGACTATTTATAGGCAAATATGGGCATTACGTGAAGCCCGCAAAAGCTGCACCGCATTTCGAGTCGATTGTGATTTATAAAGGGAAACCGGCGTAGGGAGTGCCGTACGCACTTTCCTCGCCGGTACGCAATGTTCGGTGAATCGGAAAATGGCGGAACATTTATGTACCTATTTTTCGGATTTCTACTACGCAACCTTCCCACGTCAATCATACGCATGGCGTTATACATGAGGCCCCAGGTGATTGGAAATGGAGAGGAACAGCAGGATTTAAACTGACAAATTAAAGAAAAAATACATATATTGCAAAATATGCTGAAAACATCAGATTTGTGTTGAACATTGTGCGGCGTGGGGCGCGGTGTGGTGCAGTGGGTTGTGCGTATGTGTTCGGATCGGGTTCAAACCCCACTGCAGTGATTGCAGTCAGCATGTCGTTGTGTCCCTGGACAAGACACTTCACCCCAAATTGCTCCTGGGGATTGCCCACAGTATTGACTAAGTCTCTTTGGATAAAAGCGTCTAACAAGTAACATGTAATGAAAGGACTGTAGCCTTCTTCAAATTAATACATGCAACAAACACAAATGCCATATTTACATCATGTTTTTTAAATTGTACCCACTTTCAGAGTTTGTCTGGCACGTTTTCATTATGTCACCTCGCCTTGCATCAGAGTCCTGTTAAGCCCTGTTTTAGGGGACACATCTGATATCCTTCCTGGCATGTGTAATCCCAAATCTACCAAAGAGCTTCGACATCAAAGTCTTAAACTATAACTGAAAGAAGGTCGGCATTAGAAAAAGATAAACTAAACAAACCTTTACTCTAAAGCCCCTCATGAACCTGTTTGCACCTGCTTCATTCATCAGGACAACACTTCATTTAGCTGTAAAGCTTTGGGAGCAAGATAGATTGAACCGCAGATAGAAATAATTATCTGCTGTGTGTGGGATCAAGATTTCACCTAAAAGCCGTGATTATCAAAGGGCTTTTAGAAGAAGTTGTTTTAAATCTTTGAGCAGAGGAGTGAAAAGCTTGTATTTGTTCAGTTTGTAAAGAATCAACTTTACCGCCCTGCATGGGAAAAAGAAACGAGACGAGACATGCAGCCATTGTAACGGATACAAGTGGGAAGAGGACGCATACCTTAAATATGACTCAGGTGAGATGATGATTATGATGATAATGTGTTTCCCTGCAGGGATTTATAAAACTCATTAAGATATTACCGGGGGTTACTGAGAGTATTTCTCTTTATAGTCTGTAGTACTTACATAATACACAACAATGTTACATTAAAGGGCACTCCACCAATTTACTCACTCATCATGAGGACACTTTATGTGAAAACAGTTTTGTGTGGCTCTGAAAGGGCTTTGGAAAGTATAGGATGACATGATTAAGTAATAGGTAGGCTGAGTAATAATTGGTTTGCTTTTTTTAAGTGCACAGAAGAGAGATGACAGGAAAACCTTTGACAGTAAAGACGTCAGATACTCCATCAAACCTGCTTAAAATAATTGGTCTGTATAAATAGTACATTTTGCTCCAAGATCATTGTTGAACCACCAGATTCAGAGACAGTTTCATTCCACAGGCAATAAGACTGTTAAACACCTGAAACACCAATAGCTTGCATATAGACTCTTATTTCACTATTTCACTTTTTTTAAACTATTTTTCTTTTTTGTATTTACTTTTTAATATTTACCTGCACTATATTTTTCTGTATTATTGTGTTGCACTGTTGGAGAAGCCTGTGACCAAAGATTTTCATCGAGATAACCTTGAAAGTTATTTGTAGAACAGATCACTACTCTGTTTTTTGCCGTTGTTCGATTTTTAAAGAATAATTAATCGTTTCTGTCAATGTGGTCTGTAAGTAAATGTTACTGATAAAGCAAGATGGATTTCTTTCTCTGAATGTCTAACCTGCAGAGATCTGTCTGTAGTCAAAACACGGTAGAAAGAAAAGGAGAATGTTATATGACTCAGACTAACATTAAGTGTAAATTATAAATAAATGTACTGACATTTAATCAGCAGGTGCGGCCATCACAGTTTTGATGATATGCTGATTTATAGTTACTGTGGATTACCTAAACAAAATTCCTCAGAATGTACCTACTAAAGACAGGCAATTATGAAACGCACACACACACACACACACACACACACACACACACACACACACACACACACACACACACACACACACACACACCCACACAGACACACACACACACACACACACACACACACACACACACACCCTACTATCTTGAGCAAACATGTTACTAATTCAGTCTCTGTACTAGATCTTGTCAGATCCTTCTGGATTATTGACCTTTAAGCGTGTAAAAATCAACGGTCCAATTAATGACAGGAAGTCACTTTAACACCCCGTTAATCAGCTCACATACTAAAAGGTCTTGGGTGGCATGAGTGTGGATTTAGTGAATCGTTTTTGGTGTATATTATGCGCACAGTGGCTCAACCTTCAACCAACACTTGGCACCAACACTCTCACACCATCCATGCGAGTACTGTTTATGCTAAACATAATGTAATGTTTTAGAAAAAAACAGTGCATTTGGGAAATGGTGAGCTTAATACCGGATAAATTAGACTTATTTTATACTATTTTAGTATACATTTGATGTTGTTAAATACGGCCTTCATTTATTTCAATGCATCTATAACTTTCTCCGTTTTTGACGTTTTTTTCAAAAGAAACAAAGGTATGAGGCATGAGGTATTGAAATAAAATGGTAATTTTGTGGTTGAAGTATTCCTTAAGAGTGTGAATGTTGCACTCACTTTCATCAGGTACAATTAGAAACAACCCCTTGAATGATGATGATGATGATGATGCTCTATAACTGCTGGATGTTTTGATATTTTGTCAAATAAACTTCAAAGTTGAAGATATTTTAGTGTTATCATTTAAATGTGGTGTTAATGTAGATTTAAGTATTTATTTTTCACCATAAAATGAGCTTCAGAATTAACTTGTGACTTTTTAATCAGGAGTTGACTTAGTGTAAAACACAACTCCATTCACACTTCCTACCCCAGCTTTTGGTGAAGATGATATTATCAAAAATGTTCCTCGTGGTGAGATTGTTTCCTCAACTGCTCAGACTACACATGTAAAACTACACAACGTTATCAGAGAAGAGGGATGCTAAGAACAGCTGACCCTGAAACTGATTTATAGCTCTGCTGTTCCTCCACTCTGTATCCTGCAGGTGCATCTTCTTCTGATCAAAACTGGGAAGATCACAAAGAAAGAAGAAATGAACCCACATGAGGAGTAGCAGAGGTGAGGAGGCAGCTCCTTACAGCGCAGACCTGTGGATGGTATCCTCATTTCCTTCTTGACCCTTGACCTCTAACCTCTAACTACTTCCTCCTTTCTGGAATGCATCCTTGAGCTCTGGCTGAACGAGTCGGTAAAACAAAATCCCTTTTGTGCCATTAAAGAGAGCGGACTTCCGTTAAAAAGGTGGAAATCTCTCTCCTGTCGGCTTTTTTGTTAAGTGTCTGTCTGAGGGGACAAAGAGCAGCAGGTCAGAGGTGAAGAGGGTCAAGAGCAGACAGGAAAGCATAAAATCACCTCTGGGATTACACATTACACACACACACACACACACACACACACACACACACACACACACACACACACACACACACACACACACACACACACACACACACACACACACACACATACACACACACACACACACACACACACACACACACACACACACACACACACACACACACACACACACGTGCTCGCAGCTGGATCATAGCACTCTTCCCCCCGATTAGAACTGCTCCTGATGCAGCTGTCTGCCGTCACTGAGAAAGTAATTAGAGACTGCTGCAGGAAGCCAGAGGAACAAGCCTTATTTGGATGTCCTGTACAATCACTCCACATGTGTGTATAAAAAAATTAATGTGTGGTGCTTTAACCTGAGGGCATGGAAGTGTAGTTTACACAGACTTTAATCTGCCTAAATAAAAGTCCAACATTAAATCAAAGATGTCTTGTTTTAGAAAATCAAAAAAAAAAATTCTCATAGCAAAAGTCAAAAATATCTAAGATTTACTAGAATAAATGAGTATATTTATTGTATTTCTGCCTCACAAGGACTTACAACACTGTAAAACTTATATTTCACTTTATTTAAAAAACCAAAACAAACTGCAAGCTACCTTACAAAGGGCCAACTGGGCTCCTTATAGGAGGAAAACTAATATTTGTTGGGAACTTAGCAACTGGACAAGAAAGTTGTGCATAATAATTGCTGTCTATAGTTTTGCACACTCATTGTTGGTTTCTTGAAGAGAGATTGAATAAAATCCATCTCTGCTCTGATATTTTAAAATGGTGTTTGATTCGAGAAATGTTTTTAAACAAGTTGATTTGTATTGAACTCAAAACAGGACACATATTTTATGTACAATCCTTGTCAACATATGAACACCCACGTCCCTCTTGGTCTCCCCATCAAATGTCACATTTCATAAACTTTAAGGCAAAAGGACACACTGTATAAATAGAAAATATTTATTTTGGTGCACAAATACAGTGGTGTTTACATGGTTGATTGATAAAGGTTACCAGAGGTAGAAATACAAGTACCGCTCTAATAATCAAACTTTGGTTCTGTGTGATAAACAGATTGTATAAAAGCAATAACACATACAAATACTCAAGTAAAACAAATGTTCTCAAGAGCCAAGGTGAAAAATCATTTCAGAGCAACATTAACTTGTGGCCTGTTTCCACTTTTGTTTGTTTAGTGGTCACAAATCTTTGGAGTGCAAGGGGTTCATCGAAAAGTTGAAAAGCCAAAACAAAATATTAAAAAAGACAATTGAAAAATTCATCAGAAAATTGTATCTCAAGTATAAAAAGTATTTACATCTTTATCAAATGTTTTGATTATTTTTTTTACTAATGCAATGGCTCAAGGTGGAGCTAAACACAATCACGTTATAATCTCATGACGTTTTGAAGGAACATTTTCAAAGAGGCTAAAATTGCCAGAACATTTTGAATCTGAAGTCCAGTATAAAGTAGCATAACATGAACATACTGAGTAAGCATTGGACTTAAGACAGTACTTTAGAAAAAGCACTTTCTTCATCGATTATAAATGACTTTATAAACACCTGATAATATCCACATGCGTCATGTAAACATGGCATATTGGAGAGAAAATCTGATTATTGATTAAAAAAAAGAAAGACTTGTTGCTGCTGTTTAAAAGCACAATGAGTCCTAAAGTAACTCCTGCTTCAGTCTGATCTTGTCCTCCTGTGAGACCCGGATCTAACAGTCCTTGCTCTGCAGCATGGTCAGGAAGAAGTTGCACACGCTGGCCCACGAGCCGCTGCAGTTCTCTTCAGCTGTTTTCAGATGGTTCACGCGCGCTGTGCATGCGGTCGGTTTGACCGGAGCTGCAGCGGTGGCGCGAGCCTGCGGCGGTGGTGGCAAGTGAGTTTCCGGCTCTCCAGACTGAGTGAGGTTGACAGAGCTCATTATGTCCAGTTTGAAGTGCGCATCCCTGGGCGCGCGCTTACAAATGCCAGCCCTCACCAGCTTGCTCTCGTCGCTGCACACTTTGCCCTGCAGCTTTTTGAACGCACGCGCCACCTGTTTCCAGAAGCTCTTGTTGTTGGACTTGTATCCCGCGCAGCTCTGAGGTTTACCGTTGTATTCACACTTTATATCCGTGACTCCGCCTTTGATGCGCGCCTCCCGGTCCTCGCATTTCACCGACAGCTTGACCGCGTCCCCGACTGCTTTGGCCCCCCACGTGCACTGCATGTTGTTGTTGATGGAGAACTTTCCCCGGCCGTTTGCGGCAGACTTGTCCCCGCTCCTGGGCGCTTTGTCCGGGGCTGCGGTCACCGTCTTGTCTGCTCCTCGGTGCTTATTGCGCGCACCGGAGGAGAGAGAGACCTGCTGCCCGAGGAAGGCCAACAGCAGCCAGGGAGCGACAGTCGTCAGGAATAACATTTCCTCTTTTAGACAGATTATCACCTGAGAGCACAGACAATGTTTTTGTTAAGCAACATTATTTTAGAAATCACTATCATCTGAAAGGATGGTTAAAACAAGGTCCAAAGCCTCAGTTCTGGTGAAAAACAATAATTATGAAAAATGATAATATATGTTTTTTAAATATCAATGTTTAGGCTGCTCCCCCCCAAAAAAAATCCAGAAAAAATGATGCATGTATTTTTCTTTGCGAGCGAGCAATGGTTTTACGCCAATCGGGAAACAGTATAGAAAGGTGCAATTAAATTTGATATTTTGAGCTTGCAGCAAACTAATAGACACCTGTGGAAGTAAGTAGGTCGTAATACAACATAGACATAAAGTGCAAACATGAAAGTAACACAAAACAACTTGATCTCACCCAGAATAACTCGTGCTGCTGTGCGTAAATCTGCTTCTTGTGGCTCTCTGTGGTCTCACATGGCTTTCATACATACAGAAATGTAATAGATGCTGCGGCACGCCCACTATTCCCGCCCAACAACACACACACACGCACACGCACACGCACACACACACACACACACACACACATACACAAAGACGTAGGCTACGCAGCCCCATTGAGGAAAATCTTGGGAGTATTTATTTGGTGTTTTGTTCCGGCGTATCCAAACAGAACGTTTAACTGAAGATCAAAGAGACTGGTGCATGCTGGAACTGCATGTCTGCACAGATAAGAGTGGGTTTATTCTTAATAACTGTAACATGCCTGGTGAACACATTGTAACCCCACCTCACACACACTCAATCTAGGAGGCTCGACTCTGGCTCTCCACCAATCCGCTGCTGCACTCAACCACGAGGAGATCATCTCCTTCAAATTCCACCATGTGGCTTTACCTTAACACCAAAGCAAAACATAGAAAGATTTGTGATAGTTATTATAGGCTACTCAAGTACTGTAGGTTACTTAAAAAATATATATTTTCCCATTAATTCCCATTTTCTGCTCCTTTATAGGCTACTTCTAATCCTACATTTAAAAGTAAAAAATCTACTCAACTGTAATTATATTGCAAATAACCTGCAGTATAGTGAAAATAAACCCCACTTTTTAAACACTAAATACATCAAAAGTTATAATTATTGCTGAAATGCAATTCTGGCTTTTAAACAGTGTGTTTGGTTTAGTTTTTTTTTTAGGTCTCAGTCTGTAAACGGTTTTAATTAAATAAACTGATTACGCACATCATAACTGACATTGACCAGATTGTTGACCCTGTTGTTTTAAACTCAGTTATCTATCAAAGGTAACACATTTACCAGATGTCTGCTCCCTCTCTCCCCATAAACTCTTCATGTGGTTCCTCCTTTGATATCCTGACATTAACTCAGTGAGCTTCTTTATGAAGTCAGTCAGAGGATGTCTTCTTCTTATTTCACCGTGCAGGCTGTTACAACAATCACTGAAAAACTGTGTCGACTTACTATGTATTCATTTCTGTCTTTGTTTTACATGTTGTCCTTTGTCCACATGGTGTCTTTTTTTACTCCGCATAAACTAGACTACAAGTCTGATACATTATTATTATGATATATTTATAACAATCTCGTGTTTGGATTATTGTAGGATGTTATGGCCAAACTATGGGATTAGTTTTGTGTCATAAAGATAAAGCAACACTTTCTCAGAATCAAGTAAAACTAAGAGTTCAAGAGAAAAAAGAACTGAGTCAAGCAAAATAAAATTCATTAAAAAAATAAAACTATAAATTGCAATCATGTAAACTATAAGTCTTTTTTCTTTGTTTAAAAAAAAAAAAAGAGCCCCGGTGTTAAACCGGCTCCGGTGCTGAATTATTAAAGACCATGGTACCGTTAAGCTCCGACGTTATCGGTCTTTTTATCGGTACTGGAGACATCTAAAAAATATGTCATTATTTATTATTGCTACACAAACATTATATTGCAGTTTTAGTGTCGCCAACTCCGTTTCTAATACGCAAAAAGACTGCAAAATGCGTCCATGATTATTTTTAGTATTTTCGATCTCTCCCCCGCCTGCTTGCGAGGGGGCGGGGCAGTTTACACACACGCGGCTGCTACATACAGCAACACACACACGGAGGAGATGGCGGAGAAAAGCGCTCCAATGTGTGGTTAAACTTTACCCGTCTCAATGTGGACAATGCTCGTTGCCAAAAGTGCAATAAGAGTTTAGCATGTAAGGGCGGTAACACGAGCAATTTGTCTAAACATTTAGCAAAAGTGCTCCACATTCAGACGGAGGAATGCACCGGGTTCGACTGTCTTTCTAGAAGCTCTGTAGCCCCATCCACGAGTAACGTTTCCACGTCAGGTGTTATGTATGCTAGCAGCAACACACGGAGTTAACTCAATTATACAAACATGGGTTAATGATTAGAGGTAACTGAGTTATTTATTTTGTTAAAGTTTCAGCTATTCTGTTTACAATTCTGTCATCAGATTATTTAATATGATTTGTTTAAAACAACAATGTTTTACATTGTTGTTTCTTTTGATGTGAACTATTATGTATTTAATTTAAATAAAAAGCAATGTTAGTTTTGTTCACAATTTGTTTAGTAAGTTTACCTTTTTTTTTTCTCCAAAAGAACCGATAAGAGTACCGTTAAAAGACCGGACCGATAAGCGGTATCGATAAAAGTATAGTACCATTACAACCTTAACGATACCCATCCCTACTCGTGAGCACAATAAACGTTCTCGTGCGCACGAGATACTAACCCGTTATCCTTATTTTTTTTTTCTCTCTCTCTCTCTCTCTGTTTTAAAACAAAAAATGTCATGTCCCTTTAGGGCAGGGGTCTCAAACTCAAGGCCCGGGGGCCAAATCTGGCCCGCGACTTTATTTTATGTGGCCCCGCAAGAGCTTGCAAAGAATATAATACGTTCATCATAAGGTTACATGCCACTTTACAGAAGCAGGTTGCCCATAAACTACATGTCCCACAATGCATCTCGTTTTGTGACATGCGCACTGAAGAGACTTGCAATGATTTGCCCAGGACTTCTGCTTTCAGACGTAATTAATTACTAAGTTATTATCCTATCCGATAATAATTCAATTCAGAGGCAATAATGTAATACAATTAGGGCTGTCAAGTTAACGCGTTAATAACGCGTTAACGCAAAAAAAAATTAACGCCACTAATTATTTTAACGCGATTAACGCATGTGTATTTTTTTTCCTCGGCCGCCCCGTAGTTTCAGAGTGCATCGAGTTTAAAATACCATCTACAAGCTGATGCTGACAGCCCCGCTGATGCTGACAGCCCCGCTGATGCTGACAGCCCCGCTCCTGCCACCCGCTTGTGGCAGACCACACTTCCACGCTCACCGGCAGGCACCGACTGGCTATTGGGAGGACCGGGAGGGTGTGTGTGTGGCACGAGCGAGCGAGAGAGAGACCTTACGTGCATTGTTGTTGTTAGCATCTGGTGCTAGCTAGCTGCGCTAATGGATAGAAGGAGCTGTTTAAATGAAAACAGAGGAGCGACATTTCGCCACAACTGCGCCGAGCACTTGACTTTATGCAGGCAGCCAGACAGTGGGACATTGTACGAAAAGTCAGCACACTCAGCACGGATAGTGCGCAACATGATTGCAGCGTCCACGCAGCTCTCGTTCGAGCATATGCCTTGAGTTGCACATAGCGCCAACAATCCATCACACACACACACACACACACACACACACACACACACACACACACACACACACACACACACACACACACACACACACACACACACACACACACACACACACACACACACACATACACACACCCACACACCATTTGTATTGTATTATTGTATGAGAGAGGTTCCAGGTTGAATTGAGGCGAATATTTGTAATGTTCAGAGGTTGTTGTGTTTAATATTCATGAGAATATTTGTCATTGTTCAAATGATAATAAACATTAGCATAAAGCATATTTGTCCACTCATATGTTGATAACAGTATTAAAAACTTGACAAATATTCCTCTAAGTTACATTTAGAACAGATAAAAAATGTGCGATTAATCGCGATTAACTATGGACAATCATGCGATTAATCGCGATTAAATATTTTAATCGACTGACAGCCCTAAATACAATACATTATTTTATATATATATATATATATATTATATAGTTACAACCGGCCCTTTGAGTGCAACCTTTATGCGAATGTGGCCCGCGATTAAATTGAGTTTGACACTCCTGCTTATTATTCTACATGAAAATTTGAGAGATTCCATTCAAATCTGTTGATTATTCATATCTTCCTCAGGCTAGGAATAGTATGTCGAATTTGTAATGCTAAATGTATATCATTTTCTCACATGAATGTGAGAATGAGACAACACAGTTTTTATCCATTGTGTATGAATCTCTATGGTATGAATGCTTCAGCTCTTCAGACCAACATAGTAAGATGTGAGCATGTTCCTAATTGTGTTGGTATGCAACCTAGGTCTGCTCTGTTAAATAAAACAAATCTGACACTTTTATATGATAGCATTTGTTAAATTAAAGCAGTCTTTAATTGTTTGTCCTAAACATAGCAATATATGCTTTTGAAATGTAACATGTCTTTGAAAAATTAACAGTATACAGTTTATATTGTGTATCACCTTAAGCTTGAAAATACATAGATGTGTTTTTTTTATCTATAAAATAAATAGATAGACAGACAGACAGACACTTTATCAATCGCAAATTGGGAAATTATTTTACTGCAGCAGTGTGTTCAGGTGTTCAGTTCAGGTATTACAAATATTTAAAGTTGGAATAAAGTATAAACTACACAACACAAGTATAATGCATAGCAATCCATAAGATAAGTCCGATATTTTCATGAAAACTCCCCAGAAGGACACACCAACACAAACGTGGCCGAGTGGACTCCGGAGTTTGGTGCACTGTATGATCTGTGGTGTAATGGGCTGTCAGTCAAAAACTGAGTAGCCAATGGGGACGCACCTCTGAAAGTCCCGCCCACTTGGGACGTTTGTGTCAGAATCGGAAAAAAAAAAAAGTCTGATCATTGAGAAAGAACTGCAAACAAAAAGATATGTTAAAACAAATGATTTCTTTGCAACTTATAGTTTTATTTTTGAAATACATTTTATTTTGCTTGACTCAGTTTTTTTTCTCTTAAACTCTTAGTTTTGCTTGATTCTGAGAAAGTGTTTCTTTATCTTTATGACACAAAACTAATCCCATCAAAAACAACTTCCATATTAATAAAAGTATGTTGCAAGAAAGTGGCATCATGTAAAAAGAGCCTCGAATAATTTTCCATTCAACAAAACAAAGCCACAATACAAACATATACATTTCTAGATTGCTCTTAGTTTATTAACATTAAATAAAAGAGCTGTTATACATGTATAACTTTATGTTTTATAGCATAAACTATAAAGGTGTTTTTGATGTTGTGCTGTTG